CATTGTAGCACAGAATTAGCCAAAGACAATGCATAAATGAATACACATGCCTGTATTCTTTGAAACTGCTGCTGGGCTGATTTTGGCCCATGGGTTGAAGTTTGCCAGCTGCTCCTTTAAATTCTTGAACATATTTATATTCACTGTTTTTAAGTCCCTGTCTGCTAATTCCATTATCTCTGCCATTTCTGGCTCTGTTTCTATTGACTAGTGTTTCTTCTTGTTATAGGTCATATTTTCCTGCTTCACATATCTAGTTATTTCTTACTGGCTGCTGGAATGTGGTACTAAGTTGTTGATTGTATGGATTTTTTTTAATCTTCTTTTATAGACTGTCAGTTTTTTGTTTTGGGAGAGAGTTAAGTTACCTGTGGATCAGCTTGATCTATTTAAAGCTTTAAAAAAAACAACACACACACACACACACACAAACCAGAAACCACCGTGTTTTGGCCTGTTTAGAGTGGATTTTTCTCTAGGCTCTTTCCAAGATCTTTCCTGAATGCTGAGTCTTTCTGCTCCAGCTAGTTGAAGTTGAGATGTTTCTCAGCCCTGGATGAAGTCTAGGAATTATACAGTTTACAATCCCGTTAGTTGGTCTTTTCTCACTAATTATACTTTGCCTGGCCTCATGGAGTCTCATCATAGCATGCAACCCAGCTTAGTCTGAAGGCGACCCCCATGCATATTTGTGGAGTCCTTTCTCTGTGTAGCTCGCTCTTCGCTCATGTTCTACCCCACAGATTTCAACCACTCAGCTCCCCGAACTCAGGTTTTCTTTTCAGTGCAGCAAGACCACCCTGCTCTGCTTGGAGTCTTCCTCTTTGAATCATGGATTTTGCTGGAGACACAGAATATGTCTACAAGTGGAAAGCCAGGGTCATCCCAGGGCTTCCTCATTCACATCCCTTCTCTCAGCAGTCAGAAGTACTATACTGCCTATGGCACGATGTCTGAAAAGAAATGTCCCATATACTTTGTTCACTTTTCCTGTTGTTCACTGTAGGAGTGAAAGTCTGTAGCAGTTACTTCATGATAGGGGGCAGAAAACCCTTAGCCGCAGGACAGGTCTCTAACCCATGCGTATCAGTACCTGTGTAATCCCATGAGAGCTGGAACCTCCTGCTCAGTACATTGTGTTATATTTACCTTTTATGGCAGATCTGTCCAGGTAGCCTTTTCTACTTAACACTAGAGCTTTTTATCTTTATCCCTTGTTTCTTCACTTAGTGTAGTTTAAATGTGATTCTTCTAAATTTGATTCCTTTTAGTAGGAGTTTTAGATTTAAAAAAAAAGACTTTAAAGATAGTTTGAAGATGTGTAACTTTAAAAATTCTCTTAATTAAAATGATAAATTTTTTTAGTTTTTGTGTTGAATTTTTCATGTAAACTAATACTTACTTCAGTGAAGTCCATTCTATGTAGGAACCATTAAACTACTATGTTGAAAAGAACGTGTGAGGTTTCCTATCAGTTATCATAGTTTAAAATGTCAAGGTGCAAGTTAGACGGGCTCTGGAGAATGAACAAAGGGCAAGAGGCTGACTTATTCATGTTCACTTTGTCTGGGAACCACCACATCTGCCTCTAAGGCTGAGTAATCATGACTTATTAGTGTGGTTATGGAAAGTATACGTCAGTTTAATTGTGTAAACCATCCCTTCTTTAGGGAAAAAATTCTCATCAGATGGCTGAAAATTTCCCTTTTTAGAATCATTTAAAATTAAAACTATGAGCATGTCTTTTATCTTGTTGATTAACCTGCTTAATTTGTTGGGGTTTATATTTCACTTATATTTCGGGAATAAAATATTTTTTCATTCCCATATATCTGAGAAATCTCATTATTTTATCATCTGGGACAGTTCAGTTTTTGTTCACCTAGAGTTCATTTCTAGAGGACAGTTTTGTGGGGAAATCACGGACAAACTATTGAATTTCTTCTCTTTTACTTAATAATACCACATTTCTCTTTTGTGTTTTCAAACAATAAAGGTGGAAGTTACAGTTGCCTTTTTTTTTTAACTGCATTTGATGCTTAGCTGTAAGTATACAGTGAGAAATTTTTCACCAATTATTCAGTTATTCCGAATTCTGCACTCTTGGGTTTGTGTGTGTATAGGATCACAAAATAATTCTTGTTTTCTTTAACTGTGAAATATCTTTTATGCACATAATATTTAAAGAAACAGTTGTAGATTTCATGGTTAATCACAACTTTAAAAAAAAGCCCTGAATACTCAAAAATATTCCTGTTTTAAACATTCTATAATTATTTTTAAAACTTATTACTGTTTATTGTTTTCTCTGACTTAAAATTCAAGAAAAAGAGGAAGAGACTAAAAATTCACATAGGTTTTTTTTTGTTTGTTTTTTTGTTTTGGTCTAGAAAAAAACTTACAGTTAATTGATTCAGTGCTCAGTATAGGACTTCATTTTTTAGATTTTTATTTGAACACAAAATACCAACTGCATTTAGGGAGAAATGTAGCTTAGATTTATGAGTATCTTTCTTTTTCATATTAGCATGCAACAAAAAAGTTTATAATCACCTTCTATCTCAATAACAGTATGAGTTCTTTACTGTTTTATTTTCATCAGTATGTCTTATGCACTTTGTCTTCAAACCACAAGTTTTTTCACCATGTAGTTTAAAACGCCTTTCTTATATCCAGTGACCCCTTAGCGTATGTGTATCTGTATATAAGATGCATGGATGTGTGTGTATAATTTTACTCTACAAATACAGTATTTTTCTTCATAACAGCTAATGGCTAATACTTTCGGGGGTCTTAATATATGCCCAGCACCGTTCTAAGCTCAGCAATTTATATAAATTAACTAATTTAAACTTCACAGTATCCCCAGAATATAGATCCTGAAGGTATTTTATTATTCCCATTTTATAGATGAGGAAAGGAAGATTTAGAAGATAAGTCGCAAAGGTCAGAACCTGAATCAGAACATCTGGGTCTAGAAGTTATGCTTATGGCAGCTGCTATAAACTTTGTTTACAGCATTCTTTAAAGTGAATACTTACATAACGTCTGTTAGAAAAACACGTTAAGAATGTCCAACTTCTGGAGCTTGTATTTCATGAGAACTTTGGAAATTAGCAGTAGATTTTATTGACATACTTGATTATATTTAGGTTTTTGGTTTTTTTTTTTAAACTTTGAAGCTAGATAAAACCATAAGATGAATCTAATTCTTTTGCCTTGCAGGAGAGTAAACTGAGGTCCAGAAATGTCAAGTGACTTGTCTGAGGTTGCTTATTTTCTGACCATTAATAGCTTATTAAGAACCTAACCTATTTGAAACTCAAAACGAGCTTGTTTAAAACATACAGGTTCCCCTCCTACACTTTTAGTGGGAATGTAGTTTGGTGCAGCCATTATGGAAAACAACATGGAGATTCCTCAAAAGACTAAAAATAGATTTACTCTATGATCTAGCAGTCATACTCCTGGGCATATATCCAGAGGGAACCTTAGTTCAAAAAGATGCATGCACCCCAGTGTTCATAGCAACACTATTTACAATAGCCAAGACATGGAAACAACCTAAATGTCCATCGACAGATGACTGAATAAAGAAGTTGTGGTATATTTATACAATGGGATGCTACTCTATCATAAGAAAGAATAAAATAATGCCATTTGCAGCAACATGGATGGACCCAGAGATTGTCATTCGAAGTGAAGTAAGCCAGAACGAGAAAGAAAAATACTATATGATATCACTTATATGTGGAATCTAAAAAAAAAAGAAAAAAGATAAAGATAAATGAACTTATTTATAAAACAGAAACAGACTCACATACATAGGAAATAAACTTAGGGTTTCCACAGGGGAGGGGTATGGGAAGGGATAAATTGAGAGTTTGAGATTTGCAGATACTAATATATATAAATTAGATAAACAACAAGGTCATACTGTATAGCACAAGGAACTATATTCAGTATCTTATAGTAACTTATGATGAAAAAGAATATGAAATCAAATATATGTATGTTAAAGCATTGTGCTGTACACCAGAAATTGACACAACATTGTAAACTGACTATACTTCAATTAAAAAAAAAAATACACACACACACACACACACACACACACACAAAGAAAAGTTAAAAAAAACCTTACAGGTTCCCATGTCCACCTGTTGAATCATTTTATGCTTAGGGGACCCCGAATTTATATTTTTAACAAAGTCCTCACCTTAGCATACATGTGCATTTGGGAACCATTGTGTTTACATCTTTATCACACATTAAATATGAATCCATTTTAATCCATATGATTATTATCAGTTTGTAATCTTTCAGAATAAAGGTACAAAGCAACACAAAAGCTTCCTTAGAAAAAGTTAGTTTAAAAGACAAACTCTGATACTAGTTCCAAATTTTTATTTTCATTTTGGGTTCTCAGTGGGAAAGATAAGTGAGGTACTTACTTCATTAACCGTTTTTCAAGTAAGGACAAAAAGTGATATTCTCAAATTATGCCTAAAGGAATAGGGGCACAGGAGGTTTTATCATAGGGAATAACATTCTTACAAATAAGAAAGATGGATAAATAAAATAAGAATCAAGCTAGAAATCATATGGTTTCCAGGGGCCAGTAGTGCTGATGAAGGAGACTGAAAAAGGACACAAGGGAACTTTTTGCAGTGATGGAAATGTTCTGTATCTGTATCTTGATTAATTATGGTTATATGACTGAATATAATTTCAAAACTTACTGAAGTATAGACCTAAAAAAATGACTCTTACTGTGTATAATTATACCTCAATGAATTTGAAATTGATTTTTAAAAAAGCAAACTGGGAAGAGGTTCTGGGAAGGATAATTTTTTCAAATTATCAATTGCAACTTGTCGTTTAAAAGCTAACATTTTTCTCTTAATATATAATGATTGAGGTACGATTAAAAAAATGTCTATTGATAATTCCTTTTTCATTAATATTTCTCACCAGAGGTTTCTCATTTTTTTTAATAGGGTCCACATATAGCTTCAGTTACATTAGCTGCTTATGAATGCAATTCAGTTAATTTCCCTGAACCACCCTATCCTGATCAGATTATTTGTCCAGATGAAGAGGGCATTGAAGGAACCATTTCTTTATGGAGCATCATCTCAAAAGTTAGGATTGAGGCCTGCATGTGGGTAAGATGTCCATTTTCATATTTGTTTAAAATTAACCTCACTCTCTTGACTCTTTGTTGTACCTCATTGAAACTGAACCAAGCATATACCAAGTCAGTAGATAATTAATTCATAAACTGACCAGTTACCTAACTTCCAAGTAAAAGAAACCTTTGAGAGCTTCTCCTGTTCATGAGTGACATTCAGCAGGAAGGCAGGAAACGCTTAGTGCCACGAAGCACTGATGCCATGTAGACAGCAGCAGAGAAAAGAAATACAGATAATGCAACCATACCATTTTGTAAAGTTTTAGTAATGTTTGTAAAACTTGACAAACATGTAACAAATGGTTATGTATCAGTCCAGATTGGTAAATATTATATGTCTCTCTCCTAGATATAAATACTCTGTTTATTCTTAGAAGACTCATTTCATTTTCTGAGTTGTTCTTATACTGAAGTAAGGTCAGTATTTATTTCTTAATAAACCACACTTTACTGTAGTGGAGGTATCAGACTATATCGTTGTATACGGTGATCTCACTTTCAGTCTACCAATTATTTTTATAGTTTGCTAAATATATTTTGGTAAGTTTTAGACTGCTTGTTCAATGGTAGAAGTATTTTAATCCACATATCCACACAAAGCATTTTTTTATGTGCCTAAATTCATTCAGGTGTCTGTCACTGGGGAATAGTTCATTTGCTAACAGTTCCTATTACTGTTTGAAATATTATTTTAATATCATTTGGAGTCATTAAGTCATATGTTCTCTGTAACATTTTTTCCCTAACAGTTTTCTTATAAAATAAAAAAACGTGGAACAGACCACTTAAAACTCTTAATTAAAACGGGCATGAATACCATGCCCACAGAAGAGGCAGAGTTTTCAAACACATTTAAATGTTAGCAACTTTGTCATGTTTTAAAAGAATTAAAAGGGAAAATGCCATACATTGAATTTGTTGAATGTGAAAGACAGGAAAAACTGTCATGTTCCTGTTAGTCTTTTATAAATACTGGAAACAAATTCATTGTACTAGTTGCATATGTTTTATAAATTTCACCACATTAATCGATGAAAAGCTATTAATGAAATAACTAGATACTTAGAACATGCTAGAAAGGGAGTATGTATATAATAGACTTCGGTTTTCTGTTTTTCATTTGTTCTTTCAAAGATGATTTACGTGGCTGGATTGACACTAATGCCAAGAAAGAAAATTTTTCATCCCAGCTGGCAGCGTTACCTACCTCTCCAAATTCCCATAGTGCATACTGTCTGAGGTGCTCATTTGGCCTAGCTCCATGCATGCCTCAAATTAGTTAAATTGGCTGGTGTGGTCGCTTACTTCCCCAAACAGATTTAATCTCCAAAAAGAAATTCAGACTGTACCTTATATTTATTATCCTCACAGCAGGCAGCATTAAGCTCTGCGCGTAGTGCAAGAATGTCAGTAAATACTGATTAGTTAGCTGAATTGCTCTTCCTATTCCCTTCTTTGAAACTGCCTTTTTTTATGTTAAAAAATGTTGCACAAAACCGTGTTTAAATTGGTTCTTACTGTTTTCACCATTTACAATGACAGTCCCTTCAACAAAGAATATTGAGGAAACTGAATATCCACATGCGTAAGAGAGAGGTTGGACCCTTACCTTACACCATACGTAAAAATGAACTCAAAATACATCAAAGACCTAAACTTAAGAGCTAAAACTAAAACTCTTGGAAGAGAATATAGAGACAAATCTGCATGATGATTTGACAGTGGTTTTTAAAATGACACCAAAAGCAGAGGCAAAAAAAATAATAGATAAACTGAACTTTGCTAAAATTAGAATCTCTTGTACATCAAAAGACCACTATTCAGGAGAATGAAAAGACAACCACAAAAAGGGAGAAAATATTTATAAATCGTATATCAGATAAGCGTTTAATATCCAGGATGTTTAAAGAACTACAACTCAACAACAAAAAGACAAACAACCAAATTAAAAAGTGGGCAAAGAACTTGAAGAGACGTTTCTCCAAAGAAGATAGACAAATGGCCAATAATTGCACAGAAAGATTCTCCACATTGTGGGTCACTGGGGAAATGAAAACCCAAACCGTATGGAAATACCTCTTCACACACTTTAGGATGGCTGGTTTTTGTTTTTGTTTTTGTTTTTTAAAGGAAAGTAAGAAGTGTTAGTGAAGATGTAGAGAAACTGGAATCCTTAGGGGGTCGTTATAGCTTAGTGGTAGACCATGTGCTTAGCATGTGCAAGGTCCTGGGTTCAATTCCCCAGTACCTCCATTAAAAAATAATGCCCTTACTTATTAGAAATATGGGATGAAGAGATACATACCATTATATATTTTTTTTAAATACGTAAAATAAATACCTGTCTATTATCTAAGTCTTTCTGTCTCTTTATCTACCCTGTTGGTTTTGATCCTCTGGAGAACCCTTAATGCAATTTATTAAAGGCTTTTTTATTTAAAAAAAAAAAAAAGAGAGGTACTGGGGATTGAACCCAGGACCTCATGCATGCTAAGCACGCACTCTACCACTGAGCTGTACCCTCCCCAACAAGCTTGTATCTTTTTGATCTTTCACAATTTGGCTATATTACTAGTGCAGGGCTTCAAAAACTTTCTTTTCATTTATGAATTCCAATAATAATAATAATAATAATAATAATAATAATAATAATAATAATAATTAAATTCAATAATATTAAGCATACAAACATTGGAGATTCAGGCTGATCAAAACTTAATGGTCTCTACCCTCATGGAACTTTGCATCTTAGTAAGGGAAATAATTATGGGAAAAGATATATATAAGTATCATTTAAAAATATACATATAAATATTTAAACAAACAGTGATAAGTGTCATGAAGGAGAAATCTGCATAACATAAAAATTTTTCCTAGTCTGTGATTCAGAGAAGATTTCCGTGAAATAGCAGTGTTTCAGTGGATATCTAAGGATCCTTGTTAAGTTCATGGTTTTGTTTTTGTTTTTGTTTTTCTATTATGGTAAAATACTTATAACATAGTTTACCATTTAACCATTTCTAAGTGCACAATTTGCTGGCATTAAATACATTCACAGTGTTGTGTAACCATTGTGAATATCCACTTCAAGAACTTTTTTGTCATCTCCAAACAGCAACTCTGTACCCATTAAACAGTAACTCCCCATTCCCTCCTCTCCCCAGTTCCTGGTAACCTCTCTACTTTCTCCCTCTATGAATTTTCCTATTCTTGATACCTCATCTAAATGGAATCATACAGTATCTGTCCATCTGTGACTGGCTTATTTCACCTAGCATGTTTCAGGTTTCATCCATGTTGTAGTATGTGTCAGAACTTCATCCCTTCCTGAAGCCGCTTTAAAACTGATCTTAAAGGAAATCGGAAGCATATTTTCTCTTTTTTCTTGTTTGCAAAACTGTCTGATAATTTTACTAGAGTTGGTATACTTGTTTTTTTAAACATTACTGTAAGAGCCCTGAATTTCTCAATGGTTGCAAGTTACCCTGCAAACTTTTGCTTTTAACTTCTGTCTCATGTTTTTAGTTGGAATAATTAGTAGAAAAATGATTTTGTTTTTTAAAGATCATTAACACACTGATAATACCAAACTGCTGTAATTTCTGAGTGGTCAGCATATATAAAAATGTCTCCTCTCCAGATTTTTACCATTTAATTTAGGATTCCTAACAGAAAAAGCAAGATGCTGGTGATTTACTTGTGAATTCACTTGACAAAACTTTTAAAATATATTTTTATTGAAGTATAGTCAGTTTACAATGTTGTGTCAGTTTCTGGTGTACAGCACAATACTTCAGTCATACAGGAAAATACGTATATTCAATTTCATAGTCTTTTTAACCTTAAGTTGCTACAAGATATTGAATATAGTTCCCTGTGGTATACAATATAAACTTGTTGTTTATCTATTTTATTTATGACAAAACTTTTTAAAAGCATAACAGTTCAGGATTTTTCTCCTCCCCCAAATCTTTGAATAAAATTGACATTCCAGAAAAATACTTTTTATCTTTTGATTTTGTATATTTTGTTGCATATTAAAGTCTTCTCCAATTCAAGAAGCAGGGACCTCAGGGTTAATAAATTGATACACAGCAGATAGTTTTTAGAAGAGTTTTATGAATTATTGCTTGACTAAATACAAATTGTCTTTCTTTTACAATAATAAAGCCAGTCATCTCTTTCCCTTAATTAAACTTAGGCTGACAGTTTTTAGTATTCCACAGTTTAGTTTTTTTTTTTTTGTATTGATTTTGTTTGCAAGAATTATAAAATTGTTTTGTAACAACTTCAGTATCTAATTTGAGATAACTGACTAAACTTCTGTGTCTAGACTATAATGTATTTTGAGGAACCTGTCTGGATGATTATATTTTCCTTTTATTTTATTTTATTTGTGTGTGTAGAAAATAGAACCCTGGCCCGTGATCACCATTCTTATTCCTTGCTAATATGGGAAAACATGAGCAGAATTAAAATATAACAATGAATATGATCAGCTAAGATAGTACGTAGCTCTTGATTTCATCTCAATACATTACTACTTCCTTTTTACCTTGAAGGAAATTTGTCATGAGTTTGAATCATATGATTGTTTTCAGAACTATTGAGCATTTGACTTAATAGCTTTTAAGAGAAGTTTATGTTTTGAATGAAATGTTGCATTTAATTTTTCTTCCTACTTTTTGTTATGAAAAAAATTTTTAAGTATAGGAAATTATATAATTAATTCAAAATATTATCAACCAACTTCAGCTAATATTAACTCCTGGCTAATACTGTTTTATCTAGACCCCTCCTCACTTTGCTCACAATTATCTTGAAGCATATCCCAGATAACATTATCATACCTCATCTGTAAATATATCAACCTGAGGACATTGTCACACCTAAGAGAAATTAGGAAGCGTTTCTTCAGTTACCTGATGAGTGTCCAGATTTTTCTGATTGTGTTTATTTCTCTTTTTTCTTTTCAGATGTATTTGTTGATGAAACTGGATTGTTTGTCAAGTACAGTTTTCCATAGTTGATTTTTACTGATTGTATTTTGGTGTAGTTTAAATGTTTCTCTTTTTCCTGTGAATTGATAGCTGGATTAAGAGGCTTGGAAAACAATTTTTTTTGACAAGAATGCACTTTATAGTCTTGTGTGTTTCTATCACAAAGTGCAATATAAATAGAAACGTCTCCTTATCACCAATTTGGTTACCCTGAGATATCTTTTGTATAGGTTAAGACAGGGTAAATAATTGATTATTTCTCTTTATTTACCAGTTTTTTAAATAATTAGTTGGTTCTTTAACATCTTCCAAAGGTGACTAACATTAACTCTTCTTGTTTAGCAAAATATGATTTGAATTTTATTTTCATATCCTTCTATGTATATGTGTCTCCTCTTCTCTCTGTTCTTTAAATATAGTCTTATTCTTCTGGAACTTAATTATAACACCTGATTCACATGTGGGTAATGGAGTTACGCTTGGGATTCCACATGCTGAAAAATAACATTGATCGTGAAATATTTGAATTTGATAATGTTCCTTGGGGATTCTTGTCAATGCATTTGCAGGTAGAGTCATAGGACAGAGCAAATAGAAAGGCCTAAAGTTGCTTCTGAAAATGAGCAAAGCTTTTTTATTCACTATAATTCAGAACAGAGAAGGATGGCTCAAAGTTAAGAATTTTCTTAGAGACTATAGGCCCCTTGTATTATTATCTATCCTGTATGTAAGCCATTTAAGACCAAGCCAAGTTCCTGATTCTTTTACCTTTGTTTTCATCCTTTTGTCCTAAGTTAATTGAAAAAAAAATTATCTTCAAAAACAAGAATCCACAAAGTGACTGAAACATGAGTCACTCAGTGTCCTGAGGAAATCAACATTTTTCCTGTGGTGAAAATTTATCCATCCTATGTTAAGATTTCTAGTGGCTTCCTGACCACAGTTTGTTAAAAGCTTTAATTCTGCACAAAAAATGTTATATTGGGATTAAAGCAACAGCCTAAATACCAGAAGATTTCCTAGAAAATATGTATCTTAACAGCTATCCTAGTGAATGCTCATTAGCAAATCATTTGAATATTTGAAAATGGGGATGACAAAAATAACTGTGTGTGTGTATGTGTGTGTGTGTGTGCACAAAATCTAAAGAATAAAACAAACGAGAGAATATGTCTGAGGAACAGATTCTCAGATATAGAGAACAAAATAGTGGTTACCATTGGGGAGGAGGGAACAAGAGAGCTATAGGGGATTAAGAGGTACAAACTACTATGCATAAAATAAGTAAGCTACAAAGATACATTGTATAGCACAGGGAAAATAATCAATATTTTATAGTAACTTTAAATGAAATATAATCTGTAAAAACTCTGAAGCACTGTTTTATACCTGAAACTAATATCATATTGTAAATCAATTATACTTCAATTAAAAAAAGATGTCATAACATGTCAAAAGTCTAGAAAAGCATATGTTATTTCTAAAATTAGTAAAAGGAAAAGGTATGTGAAAAATAATAACAACAGAGGCTGTAAGTAGAGATGCTTGACAATTAACATTAATTTAGTATCTGCAATGTACCAGGGATTGTCTAAGACTTTCATGTATGTTATCTAGCCTGGCATTGCATAGGTTAGTATTCTGGTCAGGATTCAAACTCATATCCTCCTGATTATATAGGATAGCTTCTCCTCCCTAATACATGCATGTTAGCATGCTTTTTGGTGAGAACTGACAAATACAGATTTGATTTGTTTAGCATCGCTGTGTTGAGAAGAGAATCTCATGTAGTACTTTGGTTTTTCACAGGGTATCGGTACAGCAATCGGAGAGCTGCCTCCATATTTCATGGCCAGAGCAGCTCGCCTCTCAGGTGCTGAACCAGATGATGAAGAGTATCAGGAATTTGAAGAGATGCTGGAACATGCAGAGGCTGCACAAGTAAGATCAGTGGGGGAAAAAAATAGAATAATTATCCCTTAAAGAGGTTATGATTAAGGTAAAATTGTCAGTAGTTACTCTGAAGAAGAAAACTGTCAGTGTGAAATCAAAATCATACATGGTTTGGTATAAAAGATTTCGAAAAGCTGAAATATAAAAGTGATTATAATCATGATCTTAGAATAGAGAAATACAGAAAGAGTCGACAAGACAACTCAGACTAAACCCAGGTAAATTCCTCTAGCCAGTGAGGTTAAGGAGCTAAACACTGTTTGTCCATTATGTGTTTGCAAGTGTTATCAAACAGACCACTGAATAAGTAAGGGGGATAAATAGGCAGGCCAGGCTGTAGTCCAAAATAAGAGAACTTCTTACTTAAGTTAATTTTAAAAAAATAATTAATTTTAATTGATTACTTAAAAAAATAACAAAACAGTTCACTGTGGTTTAGAAGAAATTTAACTCCCAATTAAGAAAGGACAATTAAGATAAACTTATCCTTTGTTCTGGGGGAGAAAGGCCAAGTCCTTTTTATACCTGAGCACAAACTATATATCAACCTGTATCTTAATGTTACAAAATAGGTGTTTTTTTTCTTTGTAGGAAAATTCCTGAGAACATTATTAACTGATTGAGTCTCCATCATAGGGATGACAGTAGAAATCAGCATAGACATAAATAAAGGATTTAAAGGAGAGATTTTTGAAAGAATATATATAAAAAATACATCTCCCTCTTGAAATTTGACCATTACTCTATGAAATGTTTAAGAAATTGTCTTATTATTGTGTGTCTGTAAGTGCATGCGCCCACATAAGTATGCATAAATTATTTTGAGGAAGGAGTTCATAGTTTTCTTTTCAGTGGAATTTGGGACCCAAAACCTCCTACCCTAGAGAGGAACAAATATGTACTTTTTAGTGACAGATGAGCTTTTTAAAAAAAGCATTATTAAATGGAAATCACCTAAGCATAGTTATGGTTTTTAATTGAAAATACAACTTTCAAATATAAATATAGAATAGCCAAATATAAAACAAATGAACTGAAGAGCTATGGACAACTGCTCGGTATGGAAAGAGGCAAGTTGTCCTTGAATCTGCTTTGTCTTCACCAGATACTGTGCCTGTCCTCCTCACATCATAATGTTTATATTAATGCTAATAATTATTACTAGTAATACCAATAATACTTTTAAATTATTTTTAATGCTTTTTAAAATCCAGTCTCTAATTTGAGCCTAATGTTAACTCTCAAGTAGTATGGAAAGGTACCATTCTTCTAATTTTATAGAAAACTGCAGAGCTAGAAATTGTTACCTCCTTAATTTTACATGCTTAGAAGTAGAGCTGGAACCAGAACTCAGAATGCCAGCATTACTGGTAAATTCCATTTACTGAAACTGTGTCCATCTGTAGACATAGATGGTTAAGTACCGTCATTTGGGATAACTCTGTCATTTGTGACACTAATTAGTGCATGGCATTTAACACATTAAAAACTTTTTTCACCTATGTAAAATCAGCAAATTGAAGTAGAGTCAGTGTAGGATGGCATGCAGCTTTAAATCTTTATGCTATGATTAGATACCAAGCAGGTATAAGTATTGTTTTCTGGTAAGCCAACTAATAATACTATGATTATTTTCCTTTTTTTAAGAAAGCTTTTTGGTTTAGAATTAATAATTTTTCATTGGCATGGTTTCTTCAATCTCTCCTCTTCCTTCATCCAGCTCTGTAAAACACTTCTCAACATCACTTGCCACTTGGCAACACATTTAAGTTCATATCACTTTTATTTGATTGATTGATAGATTGATCGGTTGATTGATTTTTGGAGTCATCATTTTGGATTCCTCCATGCTCCCACTCCAGTCTGTATTTGGTGTTCTCTTGGCCCTCTGCATGGGTGCTTCCCTCTTGATTTGGGACCCTTACCTTCCTCTTTCTGGATTTACTCCCTCATTTTAGTTGAATATATTCTGCAGTGGCTTTCTGAGAAAGGATGATTAGAAGGAAAATTCTTAAAATACTGTGTTCATTCACTTTTAATCAATTAAATGAATATAGGATTCTAAGTTGAAATCACTTTTTAACTTAAGATTGGAAGGCATTTCCCAGTCATCTTCAAGCTTCTAGTGTTGATAGTAGTTTACCTCATGCCATGGTGAGCCCTCTTTATAGGTAGTCCTTTTGGTGGTTTTATTTTTTTCTCTGAAAGCTTTTAGATTTCATTATCTGAAGTATGGATCTTTTTAAAATATATTCTGCTAGGCAGTCAGGAAACTTGTCAACCTAGAGTCCCTTAGTTTTGGGAAACGTTCTTGTATTTTTTCTGTGTAAGTTTACCCTCTTTGGTCTCTACTCTTGCTTTCTGGAATTATCATTATTTTGATATGGGGACTCCAACACCCATTATTTTAATTTTTTTATCATTTTGCTGCTAATACTTACTCATTTTACTTTGTATGCAATTTCTTCAACTTTATCTTCTAAACCTAGTATTAAAATATTTTTCCACTGATAGATATTTATTTTCAAAAATCAATTTGTATTATACTTCCAAAAGATGGCTTATCTTTTTGAAGATTTTTTGTTTCTTCAAGTTTTCTGTTACTCCAGGCATTTGTTTTCTTATTTGTTTCTCCTTTGTCTGTTCTGTCTTCTGTTGAAATCTTTCCTCAAAACCTGGTGATCCTTGTTCATCTGTTTATATATAAGAATAAGGCACATAAAAGCTGAATGGAAAGTATGTATGTGGACACAAGGTGTAGGAGTAGCAGACCACTGGGTTTATTGGAACCTCTGTTTATCAGCTCCTGTGCATCTTTCCTTTGGGATGGTTCATTTTCTCTAGAGGTGGATCCTCTAATTTCTTGCCTAGGGAATATAAACCTTGCTGCTGACATTCTAAACCTAGCCTGTGAAGGTGAGTTAGAGATCTCCTTTAATGTGTAGCCTTTCATTTAACCTACTTTGTGTCCAGTCTGTGAATACCTGCGCAAAAATGTCCTGAGCCCAGAACTTTCGGTTCACTGTGTCCGGAGGCTATGCTTGATGTCTTCTTTGGGACTAGGGGAGGAAGTTGTCTGGCTGTGCTAAGTACTTCTTATATAGTCTCCTTGTTTTCAGCCCTATCCCAGTTTTGGAGTTCTGTAGTACAAATTACTTCTCTTCCATGTCCTCCACTGCAGGCTTTCAGGTATAATCTTTTCTTCTATCTGCATCTCTCTTCATTTATTAATGCTAGTTTCATCAAAGACAGAGTTCATGTTCCTATTTTCTATGTTTTGGTGTCATTAAGATAAGGCATATTCCAGTTATCTACTGCTGAGTAATAAACCACCCTAGTGTTTAGTGGTCTGAAACAAGAATAGTTTATATTGCTCACAGATGTGCAGTTTGGGCAAAATGGCTTGACTATAAATTGGAAGATCTTCTTCCAAGGTTTACTTACATGATGAACAGGTTGATTCTGGCTGTTGGTTTGGAGTTCAGTTGGGCTGTTGTTTTGGGACCTCAAATTACTCTTCGTGGGGCTTCTTGGGCTTCCTCGTAGCACCTGAGTTCTAAGAAACAAATGTTCTGAAAGAACGTCGCTGGAAGCTACAAGGTTTCTTGTGACGTTATCTTGGAAATCCCAGTCACTTTACCACTTTATGTTGGCCAAGTAGATCACTAAAGCCTGCCCAGACTCAGAGAGGGGAATTAGACCCACCTCTCAATGAGAGCAGTAAGCAAGAGTTTGCACCCATCTTTAATCTGCCACGGGGGCAAAGGTCTTATTTGGTCATCTTGAAGTGGAAAACTTACTGTAATAACATTTTTAATAGGATAGAACAAACTAAAATTATTCTAGAAGGGGGAATGAGATGGTAGTTGATCTTGACATCATATAATGTAAGAAATTGTTGAAAAGAATTTAGAAAGGGGAAGTGATGGGCTTGTCAAATATACAAAAGTTGTCTCTCCTCAGGCAAGAGCATATACTCATGCTGAGAACCTACAGGGATAAGTTTTGTCTTAGAATTAGCAGGTTAAAGTTTTCTAAGGCCCACACTGGCTCAGTAATTTTTTAAAAATTCCAAAAACTCAGGTCTTCTAGAATTTGATGAAGAAATAAATTGTGCTTCATCTTATATGTATAATTTGAGCTCTTGAAAACTTTTGCACCTTGAAGGCTCTTAGTCTTTATCTAGCTCTACTTTGCAAGTTTTGAGTTGTAGAAACCAGAATGCACACAATACTCTGATGGTCAAGAGGGTTAGCTGTTTTCATCTTGTAAAGCCAATAATTACCCATCACTATTTTAGGATAAACTATTTCTTATTCCCTAATATCATTTTAGCTTCTATTAAAAAATCAAGTAAACAAAATGTGCACTTCTGTTTCATGTTCTTTAGTCAGAAATTATATACTCTTTCTGAGCATTTTATTTAAAAAATTTATCCCAAATTACTGTCATATGTAATGTCAGTTGATTATGCAAACTAAAAAATAATGAGTAAAACAACCTCTCCCTGACAACTTTGTGATCTTCCCTATTAAATTTCTAAAGTCAATAAAAAAATCTATGAATAAGGCACTGAATGAAGTGTGTTAGTACAGCTATGAAGTAGAAGATATTTTCCCTGATTTAAATAGGAAACACACTCTCAGAGCCATTACCCAACCCAGTTTTCTGACTTTGAATTAGTGCTTTGCCTACTGTAACACAATATAGCAACATTTTCATCCTGGTTAATGGAACAAAAAAGTGGAGAACCGATTACAATTTTTTCTTTCTACTACATTTGATTTTACTTTTCTTTCTTTGTTGCCTTTCATGTTTTTTTCACCAGTATCCATCAGTTTAGTGGCTTATTATAGATTTCAATGTATGTAAGTATATTTATCCCTTCATACTTTCCCCCAGGTTTAGATAAGGGGTTGTATGAGGATTTTTAACTTTTATTTATTTGTTTTGTGGGTAAAGGAGGTGGAGGAAGAATAGTTGGGGAG